CCAAACCAAATTTACCCCTCATAAGTTTCCCCAGTACTTTTGGAAGATCTGGCAGCTGCCTAAGAGGGAAAAATTGTCCCAGTAACAGAGGCTGTGTTGCTGGAAAACATAATTTCTAAAACTGTTGATCATAAGTGAAACACCATAGATCAGGATCTTTTCAACCAACTAGGGTAACTTGAGAGGGTAACTAAAGCCAGTGAACAAGAGTTTTCCCCATAATTACTGAAAAACGAAACTAATTTCTTTTCACCCTGGATGGCTTTCACCTTTTGCCAGCAGCATTAATGTAGATTATGGATGTTAATAATGAGGAAAGTAAGAACTGGAAGTGTTTTAAGATTTAAAGGCTGACTTTTTAATGGTGTTCATGTGCAGCGTGGCATGCCATATACTTAACTCCTTTTTACCAATTCAAAATGTGTACTTCTCTACACAGAGCTGCAGTTCTGATGCTATTTAGGGCAACACTTGTCCCTTTTACATCCTCTTAGATCATTAAGTACTTCAGATGAAATTATAGTAATGCAACTTACTTTCATCTTGTATGGTCTTTTACTTTCCATAAATAAGGTAGCTAGACCCACAGGATCTTTCATGCGCTCAACACCCCACTTAATGCATAAGAAGATTGATTGACAAAGTATATGGTTAAAATGGACTTTTTGTTGTGCTGCTCTCACTTAAAATTGGAGTCATTCTCATTCCAACTTCAAGAAAACTAGTTGCTACAAGCAACAAAAGTGGAGCAGAAGAGGGCACTAGCACAGAAAGCACAGAATCAGTGCCAAAATTTGGAACATTCTTGGGCTGCTTACATTGAAATCCAGACACCTTCATGTTCAGAGGTACTTGTTATCTGCAGTAGCTACAAAGAAGTTATCAGAGATTAACTGTCCCTGTCAAACCTTTTATCCAGTACACATGCTTTCAGACCTGAATAAAGACTGGCAGTTTCACCAAGCCTTTATTCTTTTGAAATTAAACTGGTTTGAATCACAGTAAGCCTTCCCTCTTGCAAGTTTTCTTGTGAAAACAAATAACCCATCCCACCCTTCAAAAAAAAAAACAAAACAAAACCCCCACAAACACCTGAAAGATAAAATTTTCTACATTTCTTATTTCTCTTCTATCACTCTAAAGTCATATTTGACAAAACCCCACAGTTTCGTAATCTTCTTCCAGCAGGAACATCTTCACAGATACATTCCACAGGCAAACTAAGATTAATGACCAGCCAGGCAGCCTTACCCACTTGACACTCAGTTCCTACCATTGCTCCAGCTCCCAGAACATTCAGGAAAGCCTACATACTAACTGAAGAATTTAAACTTTCGTGTCTTTTAATCAAAGAACTAATGTTGTTGGACAGCTTTAAAATTTACATATTTATGACTACATTATTTCAAATTATAAAAATATTTTTCTTCATGAAGACAGTCTTGCCACTATCTGCTGCTCTGATTTCAAATTCACCTGTAGACTTTAGTCGCGATATATAATATAGGAATATTTTCATGAATTGTTTAAATATTGTCCTACCTAGAACAGAAATAGCATGAGCTTAATTTTATAATATTGGAGGATAGGAAAGAAAAGGAAAAAAACACCCACACCATTGGAGAATATAAGCATGTTGTAAAACACCAGCATCAAATCCCTAAACATCTAGTACATAGCAAGGCCAACAGAGCAGTTTCTAGAAGTCAGCTAGAAGCCTCACTTTTCCCATCGACTTTTACTCAATCACTTTTTTTTTCCTTTTTAAAAAAAAAAAAAACAAAAAAAAACCTACAAATGTCTATTCTGTATCTTCTATAAGTGATAACATTTCCATGAATAGCACAAATTGATGGGGAAAATGCCTTCTCTAATTACTCACTACAAAAGCAAAGAGTCCAAAACAGAATTCACAATCAGCTTAAATAATGATCAGTCTAATGACTGGGTTGGCAACAGAGACAGAAGCTTGAAGGAACAAAGTGAGTGGCTGCAGGGTTATCACAGGGAAGTTGTTGCTTATGAGCTGTTGAAAAATCTCCTCTGAGAGTTTGAAGAGGCTTGCAGTGAAGAACCACAGATATCTTTCATACCAATGGACTTTCCTTATACCAGCAGACAGAGGATCACCCCCACAGAACGGGAGACTGAAAACAACTATGCTCACTTTTTTAATATACTGCAGCAGGATAAAAGACAAGGACTGTAATAAACATTAAATTGTGAAGGTTACAAATAAGGCAAAAAGAATTACTTGCTGCTTTCAAACAGATACGCAAGCAGAGGCTTACATGGGGTAAAAACAATTGGTTTCTGCTTCATGATTCACGGGTATAAACACAGATACAGAGCCATATGCACAACCCTGACAATGCCTGTGGCATGGAGAAGTGCTCACAACCTCTGCTCCAAAACACATCTGCTCTTTGTCTACTGCCTCTTGTAAAAGATACAGAACCTTTCTCCGCCATTTCTGTCAGTGGAGTTTACTATATATAGGCACTAAGTCTTCCAGTTAACAAAAGACATCACAGCTATGAACTAGTAATTTCTATCTTCAGGATGCTCCTGATGCAGTAGGGACTGAATTCCGTACACTTAAGAAACACTCCAAAGGTGCTCAAGACTGTGGAAATTTTCTTGATCTTCATATATATATATATATGCCATATACATACACACACAATAGATAGGAACCCTGGGGACAGTGTTCAGAAGCAGTCTTCTGCATCCACTCGCTCTAAAATGAACAAGGGAGGAAGCAAGCATAAACTTGGAAGGGAAGGGGGGGGTGGGAGGAAAGTGGCAGAAGCAGCTGAATGTATGCCATGCTTTTTCAGTCCTTCTCTGCCTCATCCTCTACATTACATAGCTAGCTAACCTCACCACAGCCTCTCAAGAATACAGGCTCGAATCCTGCTCTGTTCCATTTTCACCAGTTCACGCTGCCTTGAAAGACCAGAAGCAGGAACAGAGCAGAGAGTGGTAGATGAGGGGAGAGAGCACCCGAGTGCTCTGCAGAGAGCTCTCACACTTTGATGACTACCAGGAAGTCTCAACAGACACGGCAGAGCACAGGCAACCATTCTGGAAAGGTCTATTCATAAGTACACTACATTACCATAATTTCCAAATTGGAAGCACTATATATTTTTTGAACCCACATATACAACTCATTCATAATGGAGCAAAGCCCAGCAAGTCCCACAGCCCATCAGCAGTGGGTTAGTTTCTTGGTAGATGGGGCTTAAGGGCAGGTACCGGGACACAGCTGGAGCTCTGCAAGGGGCTGCAGGAGACATTTATTTCTCCTGACACTGTAACTTACTGTGTCAGTCACAATGTTATCTGGGTCACCGCTACAAGTTTATGCAGTATCAAGAGCAGTAGCAGCTCTGCAGGCAGGCTTCCCTTTTGTACCTACAACTATGTAGTATTAGCATCCACTGGAAAACGTTGATTACATCTAATCCAGGCAAAACTTCAGTCCAGGTTTCAGAAGAGAGAACAGAGTCATCAGTGAACAGCAGCAGAATTAAACAGCATTCTGGCTGTCAAAAACCCAGCACAGTGGTTGTGCCGCAGCTGTCAGTCTTTGACAACTGGTATATTTGCTTGTTTCTTCTTTTCCTTAATTTTCCTTATAAGCCAGTTGTGAAGGAGCAGAACAGATGTGCATTTTAACCTTCCCCCTCCTGCAGACACACACAGGTTGTGTGGGTGCTGCTGCCTCTAAATCCGCAGTAGAGCCTGGAGGAGGCCTGGAGAGCCGGAGGGATGTGATGCTCCTGTGCTGTTTCCATGGCACTGCTGAGGCCTCCGGGCTGGAACCCTGCCGTCTGCCTTCTCCAGTCCAGCTTGAGGAGAGAGAATAAACGTGCTCTCTCAGGGCTACGTGGTTATTGTTTCTCTTCCCTTCACAGCCCTCTCAACAGATAGCTTCCATTGTGCTTGCTTCTCACATTTCTATTGTCACTAATTAAGCTAGCACTTTATGGAACCCCCAATATTTAGAGTTTATCCAATTAAGCAAGCATGCAGCAGAAGGTGGTCCCCGTTTCTGAAGGAGCCAGGCTAGCAGGCTGCCTACACACCACCACCACCACACCAAAAAAAGCTCATCTTTCAGAGCTTTTTCCAACATTTTTTCTCTCAGGAAAGCATAGGAGATAGGGAAAAAATACAAACCCCAAACCATCTGAAAATTAGGCTTCAGTTTTTTGGATTTGATTTCATTTAATTATGGGGGTTTTTCATTTAATTATGGGGGTTGCTTCACTAAAAAAAAACCAGAACAAAACAAAACAACAAAAACAAACAAAATATGAAAAAATACACTGTATGACCTAGAGAAGAGCCCCAGAGTTACTAATCAGGTGGTTACAAACAAGCCTGTGAAAACAAGCAACAGCCATCAAAAATTCACCTGATGATCTTCACCTTCCTTGCTCCCCCCCCCCCTCCAAGGGAGAAAAAAAGTGTAATAAGCAAAAAACATTCTTTCAAGTACAAAATGTCCAACACTTGGGAAAGGAAATAAACAGGCATTTGTGAAAGTGACCTCCTGCCTTGCTCTATAGGATGACCTTAAAACAGGAATAAAGGCTTCATGTCCTAATCTAGTTGCGATTAACACAGGATTCAGAGGCAGAGAAGGAATTTAGTTACAAGGAAAATTGGCTGCTCTTTCATCTGAACCTTTCTTCTTTTCAAGAAGATGGTTTTACCTTAGAAGGGAGAAGAAAAAAAAAAAAGAGAAGAAAAAAAAAAAGAAGAAGACAGAACTTTGTGTCATTCCCTTTTCTTTTCTGTGACAAGCTGTCACTTCTAGATACAGGAACCGTATCATCATGTTGCTGGAGAGAATAAGTGGGGCATGATTTCTCTTTTCCTTTGATATGAACAAAGATTAAAGTAATAAAGAACCAAGAAGATGAGAGTAAAAGAAAAGCAAAATTTTTCAAATAAGCAGTATGACATTCCATGAAGCAACAGTGGCATCCAGTGGTATGCTTCACAAGCAAGTTTCATATCCTGCTTACTTTTGGCTTCCTCTGTTTTTTGTTTTTTTTTTTTCCCTGCAACAGGTTCTCAAGGAACCCTTCCTCCTCTTCCCTTGACATTCACTACCAGAACAGCTACCATACACCAGCCATCAAATCCAGTAATGGAGACCAAGGTGCACAAATACAAGCTATCAGCTTTCTCAAAGGCTATATATCATATCTGCAAGAGTAAAAAAAAATAAACTGTTACTGAGAACCTGCAACATTGATACAAACACACTTTAAATTTAATCTCAGAAAACACAAAGGACATTTTTCCACTGGTGTCCACAAGAGTGCAGCAAATATTACTCTGTACTGTTTGCCTCCTCAGTCCCTCTCTCCATTTTGTTTCTCTTCAAAGCAATGTGTTCATTTTTTTCTCATTTAGTGACATTAAGATTATTTTCACTTTATGATATCTAAATAGATGCTCTGGGCATAAATGAAAGTCTTAGAATTCCAAAAGTACACTACAGAAGGAAATCCAGTTAATTTATTTTTTTTTTTCAGTCTGAGATCATATTTACAGTTATGAAAGCACCTTGTGCTAGCACAAGCTCAGTACCACCACCAGTTACAACTTGCTAAGGAGAACTGTCTCCTCACCAGCTTAGCGCTGAGAACCAAAACTTTTCAGTCCTGCTCTCAGGTCATTCAAAACCCTTGATTTGATTTGTTTTTAATGTAACAGTTAGAGATCTTTTAAAGTAAGATCTCTACTTTAGGGCCTCACATTCAATAAAAATTATGTTTCTCACTTAGATTTTCAAAACAGCTAAACTACAGCATCTGCCTCTTTTTAATAGGACAATATCTCTATCTACACACCCCACAATAACCTTCAGAAAGCTACTGAGATGTAAGTAGGCTCTAAGGAGGAAAACACAAGGCTTGTTTCCCCCAAACTAGTAAAATGAAAAGCCAAGCATCTCACAAAGAAATGAAGCCTATATCTAGTCTTTGTATGACAGTACAGTAACTGGTAGTTAACTGAATTTAATTTTAAATGGTTCCACGAGTATGCGAGTGCCTACACAATCTATCCCAGTAAACAAAGACAGAAAAGGGTAATTACTGCCACACTGATGAGGAGGAAGAAAGTGTTCAGCACTGAAATGAACCACACTATAATGTGCCAGTGAACTGTTTATCGAAGACCCTCTTCTACTCAAACCCATTTAGATTACCAACAGCTAATGAAAACTGCATGGCAGTTCTGCTAGCACAGCAGAAGAGTTTACTCTTTGGAGTAAACAATAAATTTTATTCATCAGGGTACTAAACATAAATATCAACGTTTGTGATTTAACAACCAGGTTTCTTCAGGTGACCTGAGGAACAGGTTATTCACACTGACCAAGAAGCCATCCACCTGAGATGGGTCTATCCCATTCCCATATTGCTTCATTTCAGACAGGGCTGAATGACTGAAATGCCAGGTCTCTGATTTTAGATATTTACTAACTAGATTCCCTGCTTGAACCGACCAATTCCCAAAAAGCATTATTTCTGAGCAAGCAGGCAAAAACTTGCAGACAGAGTCTACCCCCAAAGCAAGAAAAAGTCATTGCCAATAGTAATACAGAACTTTTTAATAATATATTGTTCCAGCAAATTACATGCTAACATTAAAAATAGAAGAAAAACACATAAAGAACAAGACAAGTTCAAGACCTATTCCCTTTTGATGAAGTGGAATTTCCCACACAGAATCACAGAATGGTTAGGGTTGAAAAGGACCTTAAGATCATCTAGGGTTGAAAAGGACCTTAAGATCATCTAGTTCCAACCCCCCTGCTATGGGCAGGGATGCCTCACACTAGACCATGTCACACAACGCTATGTCCAACCTGGCACAACTGAGTTGGGCAGGCATGCACAGGAGATGAACCTGAGCTACAAAGCAGAATTGTGATTGAACTTGTACTATGGTTAGGATAAAGCAATCTTTCAGTAGCTAAGCCATAACACTGAAAAATCTCAGAGTGACATGGGATGATCAGTATCATACAGAATGAAACCTCAGAAGAATCAGACACTTTAGGGTAGAACTGAAAGATTAAGATGTATTTTCTTCTTTTCTTTCCCCTGTGCTTCTCAGCTGACCCAGAAGCTTCCTAAACATCCTTAAAACAAAGATTTTCCAATGAATTGCAGACTTTTTTCCACAACATACTATAACACTTTGGAAATAAACATAACAAAGCAAGATCTCTGCAGCTCTGAGCCTACCCTGATTTGATGCAAGCTCTACTGGCTGAAGGAGAGTAAGTTCTAACTACCAATTTGTCACCAAGCAAGAGGCATTTACACTTTTCCCCCTCCCTTCTTCTACTTTTCTCCTCCCTCAAGCATGCAATATTATGGTGTTCCCACTCTCTACAGCAGAGCATGCACACAGTATCCAACCAGCTGTAAGAAAATACCAAAGAGAGGTCCTAATGCTCCTGAGTTACGTCTGCAAGTCAGTATCAGACCAGTATCTCCAAGAGCAGCAAGCAGGACTATACAGCAGCACATGGTCCTGGTAACTTGGGACTTGTACCTGGAAGTAGTACTACAAAAAATTCGCAGAACTCAAGCTTTAAAACAAGTGCTAGGATATGACATTTAGGTAGTTACATTTTTTTTTTCTGAAAAATTACTCTTGAATCTTCAAAGGTAGTTAAACCTGTACCATATTAATTTCTTTTTAATGCAGATTAAGGGCTTGAGGAAGCTACTTAATGATATAAGCATTATTTAGTACTTAGAAAAAGGGATAACTATTAAGCGTATTATCTGCTTGCCACAATTACTGGTTAGGACATGAACTATGAGATCACAAGTAAGTCACTCAACCTGGTTTCATCTCCAGAAGGAATACATGTTTTCAAACATCACATAATGCATTTTCATGTCAAATAATCCCATTTATCATTAACAGATCTCTTGCTCCTGATACCATCTTTCCACCAGATGTCACACTTCTCCTTTTTTTCTTGCCTACACCTATATCTGGTAACTTCAAACCCTATACACAACTGTATTTGTTCCTGACCACAGACCATTTCCAGTCTAACCTTAGGTATTAGCCCCTCTAATTGGTTTGCAGTAACAACACCTAAGTGACCATCAAAACATGCGTTACTTGTGTAGTCAAGTTCCAGCCCTTATTTATATAGTAGTGCTTATACTGTCATAACCAGAAAAAAATTATTCCTCTGTTACAGTCCAAATCCCATCAACAGGTTAAGATGACAAAGAGCCCTTTCCTGATGTCCTGTTTTTAAAAAAGGATAATTTCTATGCAGTTTTATTTTCCTTTCGTATTGGCCAAATGTACAAAGCAGGAACATTATTTTTCAAATCCAAATGTCCAAATCCAAAGTTAAATAAATGCTTTATGACATGATTTAATACATGAAAAATTAATTCTTTGAAATCTGTGATATTTTAAGAACAAAGCTTGGTCTAAACCTGCTACCTTCTGAGATGACCTCTGGTTTGGTTTACTTCAGTATTTTCAAACTGTTGTGTCAGGAGTTGATCATTAGCATTAGCTATCTTTAGGGTCTTCAACCAGCCTTCTCCTATTCTGATAAAAGCAATGCTAGCATCATAGAATGGTTAGGGTTGCAAAGGACCTTAAGATCATCAAGTTCCAACCCCTCTGCCACGGACAGGGACACCTCACACTAAACCACGTCACCCAAGGCTCTGTCCAACCTAGCCTTGAACACTGCCAGGGACGGAGCATTTACCACTTCTTTGGGCAATCTGTTCCAGAGCCTCACCACCCTCACAGTAAAGAACTTCTTCCTTATATCTAACTTGACCTTCCCTTGTTTAAGTTCAAACCATTACCCTTTGTCCTATCGCTACAGTCCCTGATGAAGAGTCCCTCTCAGTATTCTTGTAGGCAGCCTTCAGATATTGGAAGGCTGCTATGAGGTCTATATTATTATTCTACATATTATTATATATATTATTACTATACTGTTCTAGAAAAATGATCCATGGAAAGCTATAATTTTGAACACAGCACAACCTCATCTTCGAGTATGCTAGTGTGCTACCATACTAGACTGCAATAGTTCAGTTCATAAATTTCTATTATTCCTTCCCTGTCCTTTGACAATGACCTATTTTCAGACACACATCACACTGAGTGGGTATGTCACTTGATAGAATACCATCCTGAAGATTCAAGTCTGTCATAAATAAATATGTAAGACAAACTGGTACATAAAAGTTGCCTCTGAGACCTGCTTTCAAGTCCATTCCAGAATGCAGTGAATGAAAATCATTTCAAATGAATGTCTGCTGGTCTCTGCCATGTTTCTTCTCTAAGACTTGAACATCACAAAACAGCTGAGCATTTCCAAACAGACAGCTCTAAGAAGGTACAGAGGGAAAAAGATAAAAAGCAAACCTTCCGCTAACCAGGTGCAACCCTTACCCACCTCTTCCTCTCCCTGCCTCTCAGAGGGGAAGGCTTCTATTAATACTGCAGAAAGGAGAAATTAACATTTAATTTAAAAAAAAAAATTAATATCAACAGCAAGACAACTTGAAAGAAGTGTTAGTCTGAGGAGACAGCAGCTGGGTTTTGGGGGTTCTGCCGTTTGTTTTGTTTTGGGGTTTTTTTTTAAACTCCACCTACAAAATATTGCCTAGCAACAATGGGATAACCCTCCTAACGAAATGAATCATGCAGGTATTGGCTGTTTATTCCCATGAAGGGCTGTTTCCACCCTGTCAAATGATATCAAGGCCATGTTGCCAGAGGCATTGGGAGTTTTGACCTCTAAAAGGCAATTTTCTCACTGTCTGCTCGGAAATGTAACATTTTTCATATTGAAGGCTTTTATATCATATCTTGTAGGTTTCAGATGTGTAAGTAACATACTGAAAATCTCCAACACAATAAAACCTCAGCTATTATCTTTTGCTATTAACACTGTAAACATTAAATAGCACAAAGTTAATAGTCTATTAGCTTGACTATCAAGCACCACAAAAAAAAACCACATTAAATTGCATAACCAAGTTTACTATGGATGAACAAAGTCCAGAACTTAGTTCATACAAATTCTGAATTTGAGAAATAAAATATCCACCAGATAATCAATGCAAGACTGGCTTTGGTCTTCCTTGCTTAAGTATGTCCTCTCTTGATTTCTTAATAGAGCTATTACAAGGAAGTAAGTTACACAATGGACACTGGTTCATAATAGCATGTGAAAAGAAAAGCCAAGAACAGTTATTTGCAAAGAATGCAGCAAGTGTACTATATTCTCCCAAATACATGGGCATGTACAGTCTTCCCTTCCAGCACACCTTCCCCTCTCCCCCCAGGATAAAACCTTCCCATGTTTTCATTGAAACAGCTCTGCTTTGAGCAGAGCTGCCAGCAGGCTTTGGTCCTGAAATTATTGCTTCCCCAGTTGCTCCACAAAGGATGAAATATTCTTATAGGCAGTTTGTGACAAATAAATTTATCCAATGAACATAGTTGACTACAACTCTGTACACCTCTTGAACCAATACTATGTTTTTCAACTAGAAGATAATGAGAAGGAAGAGTCCTAGAACACTACAAGGACTGTTCTGCTAACTTTCAAATATCATCTGCACTGTTAAATACCACCAGGGGTTTTTGTTTGCTTGCCTTTGCCCATGTTAAGAGAGTCATCAAATCTGTAAGGGGATCTGCAAGCCATGCAGAGGCAAGCAGTTTTCTCCAAAAATATCAGCATTTTCACAGAATTATTCTATCTTGATACTGTTGGCCTTATTCAGAAAATTATTCTAAGCAGCATATAGAGTCTGAGAATCTAGATAGCAAGACAAGTTACTTCTTGTGCTTTCCTCTTGAGATTTTTTTAAGTTGCACAAGTAGATGACAAAGAGATTCAATTCTTAAGACTACAAATCAACTTCCACAATCAGAGACAATCTTTGCAAGAGACATTTGTGAAATAAGACAGAAACACTCTCAGTGTGTTGGGATTTTTTAGCTGTTCTCAAAATAATAAAAAGTAATCCTTCATGATTAAGTAATCCTTTTCCTCAAAAATGCTCAAGAAAGATCATGCTTTGCTTCCAAATCTGACATGCACATTTGCAAGCTTTCCCACCTGTTATTGAACAGAGAATTTTTTTCTATTTGTAAAGTACAAAAGCTCAAGAATAAATACTGTTTAGATCTTTTTTTTTTTTTTGATAAAAGCAAAATACTGAAGTGCTTATTATCTTATTTAAGTAGTTTATGCCAACATTTTCTTAGAACTGACTCGTAATTTCCTATACTGTGTATTTTCTATCCTAGGAATGCAGTATTTCTCTTCAAACATCATTTTACTTACTAATCTGTTAGTCTGTATAGGCCACAGAGAAACTGTATTATTAATTCAAGGGTTTGAATCCTGAAAATAAACCTGTTTCTGGGAAGCAGCATCAGCAGAGTTGACACAGAGAAAAAAAAAGAAAAAAAAAAAACCAGAAGTTGAGGAAAACTTGCCATACTTTGCAATGCAGTGTGAAACTAGATCTTACAGGCACCTAGACTGCTGCATTTATTTAGTCACTATAGATACTGAATCCAAATCCTGTATTCCTTTCACTTTAGTTTGTTGGGAGAGACCTTCTTTCTTATTATCAGTCTCAGAAAGTACTTAACTTCAAAATAAACATACACACACAAACTTGCATCAAGAAAACACAACAGGGTTTTTAATCAAGTTGTTTGCTTGAACCACACAACTGCAAACAAGTCAGGCAGGCACATCTTCACTACAAATACGTACTTAGGTGCCCTTCTGCTACTGAATTTATACAAATTATATCTTCATATAGCAAAAAAAAAGTGTATTAACACTTCTGTACATACTTGAAATTAGCCCCAGAAAAAAATTAAACTTACTATAAAATAAAATCAGAAGCTAATTCATAACATCATTTTGCCTGAGGACTGCTGACAAAACTTTATCCCAGCGTTTAGCCATATCCAAAACCTAAAGCATGCTATAAACTATAGCCCTACAACCAAGCAGTTCCAAGAGCAGTATAGCCCACTCCCTGGAAGCAAAACCTGCAGCAGAGATCAGCTCTGATACTCTTTCCAGAATCCACTTGGATGCTCCTCTACTGAGATAGCTAAAAGCAGGTATCAGTCCTACCCTCCCCACTACAACTACTTCGACTGACGGGAGAGCAAGTATTTAGTATCCAATGCTGAATGACTGATACGAGCAGAGAAAGAGCTCTACAGGAGGTTAGTCAAACTAACTGAACAAATGTGTTCTTCAGTGGTACAGCCACAACACCAATTTTCAGTTAAGTGCAAATAATTTTTAATTAACAGAACCTTAAAACATACCTTGTTGCTACAATACCCATGAGAGCCCCGTAACACAGATTAGGCTACCACACAGGCATTAATTAGAAGCAACAACACGTCCTACCTCTCCAAGGACAGCGCTCTCCCTGCAGGTCCCCAGACACCTCACACTGCTCATGCCTGAGGGTTGCTGGGAGTTTCACTTTGCCCCGGTGTCCCATCCTGAGCCCTTCCACCTGCTCACACACAGAGCTGTTACTCCAACCCGAGCAGCATACCCAGCACACGACTGCGCCCTCACCCTGCCCGCCACAGCTCATCCCCTCGGGGCTCCTGCCAAGCCATCAGCCCCACAGGCCCCTCTGCAGCCAGGCACGCACCCCGCTGGGCTCTCCATGGTGGCAGCCCCTCACCCTCCAGGGTCCCCCACTGTGCCAAGCCCTCAGCCCTGTAGCACCGCAGTACTTGCCCCCCCGCTCCCCAGCAGTGCTAGGACTGGACCGTAACCCCTCACGAGCCCCCCTCAAAGCGCCGGGCCCCATTGCCAGGCCCCCGGGGCGCCGCCCGCCTGCCAGCTCCCACAGACGCCCTGGAGCAGCCGCCGGTTTCCACGGCAACAGCGGGTGGCGGGAAGGCCATATGGAGAGCCGAGGCGGGGGCGCGGCGCCGCGGCGGGGCGCGGGAGGCTGCGGGCGTCTTCCCCCGGCCCCCGAGCGCTGCCTGCCCGCCCGGCCCGGCGCCGAGAGGGCTTCCGCATACCCACTGGGAGAAAGGGCCTGCGGGTGCCCCGGGGCCAGCTCGGCTGGCCGACATGGGGGCACCCGGCTGACATGGGGGCACCCGGCCCTCAGGTTGCCTGATGCTGTCCTGCACGAAACCCCGACTTCTGCAATACAAATGGGGAGCCGCAGCTTTTGTCCTGCTCTCAGCACTGGAAATGAATATATATATAAATTTATAATTATTTCTCATATTGCTTCAAAATTCAAATTAGGATTAATTAAAAATTCAATAAAAAAATAAAAAGCTCCAAAAGTGATTTTTATTTCACTTACATCTTTAATGTTGGAGTAACTCCAGTGGGGTTGGTATTTTTAGTTTCGTGTAGCGTAACAAGAGATATGGGGACTTGCTATTCTACCTTGGCAGAGCTGCCAAGAACAACAAAAATGTGGGCAGGGGTCTTCATTTGGGGAAATGAAAGGCAAAATACATGTACTGGGCCAAAGAGGGGACAAAAGAGGAACACTGTGGATGTCCTCTAAGAGTGGCCACTAGTCCTTCTCCTTCCCCTAAACCAGGCCAATATCCTACTGGTTCCAACAGATGGAGAGAGACAAGACGAGATGAAAGGAGAGCAGCTTCCATCTCTGCCATTGCTGACCCCTGGGAAGACACTGCAGTGGTCACCCACCCTGCTTTATCATTCCCCATATGCATGAAAGAAGAACCTTTAATCCTCCTGGAAGAACTGCCCTTTTCACAGTCAAAGCATCCACACACGCCCCTTGCCATTCTGGGAATATGAATGTAGATGCTTGTGAAAAGCAGGTAGTATCTGGCCCACAGCAGGGGAAATCTGCATTTGAATTTCAGGCCTGTGACTGAAGACTGAAACTGAAAAGCAGCAGCTGCAGAAGCAATATGGGATCCTTGTGCAGACCTAAGTGTAATTCTTACAACCCTTATCATTTAATCATCTCGCTAGAGCTGATGACATGAATCTTGTAAGCCATCATGTGGTGAGCGCTGGCATCCAGGTGAAAAAGAGATTCCCAGTGTTTTGGGCCACATAAAAGCATTGCCAACCCAAAAATTCCCCGTATCATCTGAAATAAGACAGAGAACTGAACAGAAGAGCAGTGAAAGGAAGGGACTGGAGAGTCACAGTGATGTAAACAGGATTATGTGGCCTTGGGACACCTTCATGTTGACTGAAGATCATTTTGACCTGTTCACTTTATTTGCCCTTTTACTATTAAATCACCAGTTCCTCAGAGGAAATGCAATTGCTAGCCACCAGGTCCCTTGGTTGTGTCATTACTCAGGAATATCTTGTGAGGAACAGGAGATGCTCTAGAAGACTCACCCCAAGGTGAAGTTCTACAAGGACAGCCATTTCTGAGCAAGCAGATGAGCAGCCAAGGCTGGTTTCCTGTGT